CCGAGCTGAGGAATAATGTAACGCGCCACCGCTGCTTGTGCACGAAGGGGAGGAGGGTAAAAGGAGGGTATAGCACGGGCGGGTGGTGGTGGGTTGCACGAAGGCAAGGACGAAGCGAGTCATTGATGCGGCTGTGACCTTGTGGTCGATCGCCTCGCGTGGAAAAGGGTGAAATAATTTCGAGGGGGAGAGCCTATCGACGAGTCCGTTGGAGGATCGTTGGAGAAGGGGAGTCGAGTCGAGAGAGTCGGTCTTTTTTCCTCCTTCTTCTTTTCTTTTTCCCCTTTCTCGTCGAGGAAAGAAAGATCGATGGTGGATCGAGTCGATTATTAATGGATGTTGTTTGGTAGCGTGTAACCTTGTCTACGGCGCGAAGGAAGGTTGTTTTCGTGTGGGGGAGGATCGAGCAAGGGGTGATTAGCGTATTTATTTTTGATCACAGTATCGATATCGGTGGGGGATATTTGTGAAACGATGCATTATTCGACGACGATCTTGTTTGTTTGGGAAACGTTATTTTTGATGGATTGTTTTTGAAATGGAGAAGGAGAGATGGTTAAAATGATTGGACGATGCGCGTAATTTAAAGCGAATAATGATTTTATATATATATATAACTATTCGAGCATTGACATTGAGATTGATGGAATAATAATTGACGTGGAGGAATAAATGTTTTAAATGGCTATAGTCGGATTCGATCGGAGTAGTTTCCACGAGGGATGCAGTGTTCTATCGATTTTTCGAAAACTCGTGTTAACCTTGTGCAATATTTCCTGTCACGCGTAATAAAGCTACCATTTTAGTATATCTACTGCTATTAGACATGGTGACGACAACGCGCTATTAAAATTTAAGAAAAAGAATCGCGATTGAAAATCTCGCGTTGAAATAGAAAACAAAACGCAGAGAAAAAAAAGAAGGGAGGAAAATACACACCGTCACAAGTTGTGTCAAAAAACAAACGGAAACACAAAATCTCAAACCACTTGAGGAAAAAAGACAGGAGTCCCATAATCGATAACGGAGCAAAAATATTCACCGAAATTGTTCAGAAAATTATTCTATCTTCGAAAATAAAAAATTCGATCCACCATCCCGGTCCAGGCGCGAGATTCGACCACTTCAACTACGTGGCACCATTGTCAACCATTCGACTTTTAACCGATCCAGGTTAACCGGTTCCAGCTTATATAAGGGAGAGACTCGATACCACACTGTTCCCCGTTTCTCGATTATTTGAATGCAACGAATTGTGGGCGGAGGACACACAAAAGAGAAACATTTTTCCACCCACCCACACTCCCCCCCTCCATGCAATCGCATATCTGGCTCCGGTTACCAAGGTGTCTTCTGGGTCGAGATATATTTTGGCAGGTGGCCCGCGCTTCCGATGGAGGGCATTGATTTTATCCACCAAAGGAAAGTGGACCTTCCTTCCTTTTATCCACGATGATGGGGATGGCATTTCGCATGTGTCCTCCGCGATTCTCTCTAAATGTGCGCGCACTACTCTCGACTCTCCTCCCTTTCCCGAACACCCAATTAACGCGCCTATTTAGCATCCTCGTTAGGGCCGAGTATCGGCCGAGAACTCGTTCGTGTCCTTCCCTCCCGTGCCCTACATTTCCGTGTTCCGGCCGTGGACGCGCCCATTTTGAATCCTGTACACCCTCGTTGAATTTAAACGGGGTGAGATAATTGAATGAAAAATACTGAGAAATTTCGAATATTTAACGATGTTCCCGATATCATGCGGGCATGGAAAAATTTTGAAATTTTTACCGATCGAGCAGGATTTTGCTCGATCGAAATTATTACGCGTCGGTATACCGATCCTCAATTGCTCGGTTTTCGATTTTCGAATTTCGAAGTTCGGTGGATAGAATCGGTTCGAGAGTGATGTAAAACGGATAACGCGTTACCGTAGACGATAGTATGCCTAGTATAATGCTCTAATGCGCGGTTATCGATTCTTAATGTCGCAACCGATAGACCGATAATCTGGAACGTGGTATTCCCTTTGCGACTCGATTTACCAAGGAAACTTGGCTCGCGAACGGATCGAACCAACCGGGAAATTACCGCCATTTTGTTAGCACCGAGCGCTCGAGCACGCGAACGCTCCAAGCACGTGGGGAATGCGAGCGGTGGTGCGATCACGAGCTTCTCAAAACTTGCTTGCTCCAAGGATCCCAAGGTGAACGCGAATGATACTCGATCGATGAAATCCAACTACTACGATCAATTTTCACTCAACTCGTCGAAACTTG